CGGTGAGAGTCTGCTTGGCTCCGATGATCCTTGGCTAGTGTACATAATAAAACCCCTTTATAATATATGAAACCTCTTCATCTCTTCATCTCATGTGACTGATTTATTTAATTATTTTTTTACAAGTGAACAGTCAGGATTAAATGCATGTTAAGCTCCAATGATGACATCTGAGATATTTATTTTAAGAAGACATTCACAGTTATGTACCTACATCAGTCCTTTCTATGGCATGAATGATTAACAATATTGCCTTAAGCAGCCCATTAATAAAAATGATGATGTTAAAAACGGCTACAGTCTTTGTTGGAGTGAGTGAAGACAACAATTTGTTTTTCTAGTCTTTTCAAGTCAGTATGTGATTGAATACTTTTTAATTGTCATTGGCACTCATCCAATTGTGAGTTTTCGGGTGCCAAATAAAGCTCCCGCACACCAAACACATCCAGATGTGCTCTCCCCGAGACCTGCAGTAATGCGAGCCCTGCCAGCTCGGGCCGGTCCTACGCCGGGAGAACATGTGTTCAGGCCGCTCCATCGCGCAGCCACACATCCATTCAGTTCTCATGCTCTCTGGGGCTTCCCACTGCTCTCAGATCAGGTCAGGCCAGAGCAAGCGAGCGCCCATCGCCTGTGAGTGGCCTGCAGGAGCTGCCGTGTGTGTGTGTGTGTGTGTGTGTGTGTGTGTACGGATGGAGGAAGTCCTGTGGCAGGCGCTCACACACACGCTCTCATTGAGTGCGCACGTTTCCCACTCGGCATGGGTGAAAGTCCAAGTGTGTGTGGATGGACTCCCTCTGCGCTCGCTCGGCAATGCCTGCCGAGCCTCTCAAGTTTCCACTGAATGGTAACAAAAGGGACACTGAGCGAGAGAGAGAGAGCAACACCAGGTCCCAGCCTGCCTTCGAAACATGCTCTCCACTCCTCTTCAGGTAAATCCTGCAGCCCAGACCTTTTCTCTTCTTTTTTTCTTCATTCTCGCTCTTTGTGCATTCAGGGATTGTGTCGGAGCAGCTGGGAAGGCTGCACGTGTGTTGGGACGGCACGCTGAGAGGAACACACACACACATACACACACACACACACACACTCTCTCTCTCTGGGTCACTGTGGAAGTTCCTCCACAGATCTGCGTTCAGTGGGAGGAGGGGTGAAGCGGGCGTCCCAGTCTGTGTGTGGGACAAGAACTTGAGCTTTATTAGGAAACGAATAGTTAAAGGTGAAGTATGGAAGTGCTTGTCGTGCCGCTTCATAAACAAACAGGTAAATAACTGGAGAATTTGAAGGGAAGGTTATCATACAAATTGTGTACAATTTTAGAATGTATTATAAATGATTCTTTTCAAAGAAAGAGGTTATTTTCTCTTCCTAGTGTTGTTGCCAGTGTGTCGAGAGCAGCAGAGCTGGGTGGTTGAGTTGAGGTGTTTGGTGAGAACCTCTCTGATGTTGCTCAGGCACTGATGTGGTTTTCGTGTTGAGCGTGTGCTGGAGTTATGTCGTTTGTTTGGGCAGCCCCAGGAAGTAACTGTGTGTTTTCCTCCTGTTGTCTTGGGTCATGTTTAGAAGTGTTTTCTTTTCGATGTCTTGCATATATCTGTGTATCATACATTAGTGCATGTGTAAAACGCTGAGCACTTTGTGCATGTGCTTTGTAATATAACACAGAGTCGGCTCAATATTTGTGTGTGTGTGTGTGTGTGTGTTGGGCTGCTGCTCAGCTGTATTCTAATGTGGCTTTGCTCATTGTCGCTGTAAAGAGCATGTGGCACTGACGCATTCCTGCGCTGAGGCCTTGCACAAAACCCCTTCAGCCAGTCCTGCTGCTGTACGCTCACCATCTGGAGCACATTGTAAAGACTCATTCAAGCTACTTTGACACTTCCTTGCCTTTCAACGTGAAATACTGAAACTGTTTTTTTATTTTACAGGATGGTTAATCAAAAAAATGACAATTCTCACAATCATTTACTCTCCCTCATGTCATTTGAAAGCTCCCATGACTGACTTCCAACGAACACAAAATAAATCGCTGAGCCACTATTTTACATAAAATAGAATAGGCTCCAGGGAGAGAATGATATTTAAGTTGTTGTTCATTGAAAATATTTGGCTGTTGTGCAACTTTCAAAGTCATCATGAAATCAAAATTGGAATTAAATTTTAATCTGTCAGCCCTCTCGCAACCTTTTTTTTGCACTGCCACGGCATTTCCCTCCAGCAAACTGTCACTCACAGGAAATAATCAAAGAAGTTTCAGCTCAAAATATCCCACAGGTCATATATTATTGCATGCCCTATTTGGGTTGGAGGAAAAACATGCTGTTTTCGTGTGTGTATCTTTCAATAAAAATGAGCTGCTGCTCCCCACCTGCTTTCCAGAAGAGGGCTTTGCCTTTACAGCTCGTGCTTCGGATACAACAAAACTGAATAACCTCACGCAGCCAATATGTCTGAAATCGTCAATACCGGCGTTCAGCCTCGCATGAGTCGGACACCGATGGAGAGACTCAAGAAGTAATTTTTAGAATTTGTCAGAGGCAATTTGGTAACTTGATCTACATAAGCCATACAACGTGCTAACAAGCACATTTAGAAAGGCAATTTTCAAAACATTCACTACATGTACAGTGCAATACTTGCCTGTTCTGGGTATTAAATTGAATCACGAACAGTTGGTATTGATTTGTGAATCAACTTTTGTGCAAATCCTGCGCTGTACTGACCAAAGCAGTCCGGTGTAAAATGATTTGCACAAACATTTACGAATTTAGCTGATTTCTTTGGCACATTCACTTCATAAATGAAATGAATTCACTGCGTCCCCAGTGGCTCAGATGCTGGGAGTTTATGAAGACTCTTGTGTTCATTATTACAGCCAGTTATAATCTTTATGTAGCTAATATAGTTAGCTAGTCTAGCGGACTGTGTGTGGCTCACTCTCTGTTAATAGGGCAGAGATCGTCACCAGTCATGGGTGGGGCTCGATCTAACATGACGTCACTTTAGGCAGAAAACTGGGACAGCTCCGTTTGATGCACCGTTTCTGATTTATGGGGATTATATTAAATTAGTGGGTGAATTTTTACCATTATAGTAGTTGTTTACACGCACCCCGGACACACATTTATGTTCAAACACCATGTAAAAGTGATTTCAAATTTTTGCTTAATTTTATTTGTATTTGTATGTCACACCAAGTTATAAACATGTTTAGTTTAAACACTGACTTCTAATAAGTAAAAGAAATAGTAGGGCTGGGTTAAAAACATTGACTTCTCTGTTTTAATCGATTCTCAGTTTGATGAACCAATATCTCTTAACCCTTTAAGTGTCACCCCCCTTTTTTTGAATATACATGAAAATGCACATTTCGAACTTAAATGGTTGTAATTCAAGAATGCTTTGGAATATCGACGTAAGATTGGTCTTGTTTTAAAGAAGACATTTGGCAGATTCTTGTAGAAGTGAAATAAATTAAGAAAGTGAAACAGAAAAAAAGTTATAGAAGTTTGTGTTTATGAAAATGTACAATGTAAAATTTTTAATTATTCATATTTTATATAAAATATATATTTTCAAAACCTGGGCGACTCTAAAACTGCAAAAAAATCAAAGCCAAAAATCTGAACAAGTTGTGTTTCAAATTTTAGGTTGATATCTCAAAAAATGAGCTTTCAGTAAGATTTTGTTTGGGCGCAGTACCAAACTTTTTCACTAGATGACAACCAGACTCCATCACTGCCCATATAAGGGCGCCTCCATTTCCATATGTGTTTTGAGTGATATGAACCATTATTTCCACAATTTTCATACAATTTATGAAGTAGACATCCTATTCAGAAGTAATATGAGAAGTTTGGCAGATTTTGATATGATTTCAACCTCTAAGAAACATAAAAAGAACACGCATGTGCGTTTTAGCTTCCTGCCACATCATATAATTTTTTTCTTTATATA